TAATGAAAGTGGTTGTGGAGCACAGTGGTTAGCAAAGTGTGGGTTGGTGTTGTAAGGGAATAAAGGGACTTTTATACATTCAGAGGTATTTTATACATTCAAGTCATGAGAAGTAATGAGGTTTGTCTGCAGTTTCTTATTCTCTACCATTTTCTAGTTTTATGGTGCAGATTTCACTCACTGTGCTGCGCTTATATAACCAAACAGATGTTCTTGTGTATGAGCCAGATTTTAATAGGGCAGGGTGAAATTTTACTTAAATTACAGTCTGTTTTTCACACAAAGTATTCCAGTGACACTGATTATATGGACTACAATTTCTTGTAACTATCCTCTCATTATTCTTTTTTTACAGTAATTGTAAAGCATGAAGGTAAAAACAATGTAGGTGTACTTACAAAATGTCCATTTAGATTAACTTGAATACTGAAAAGTTGAACTCTTTGAGCAACACAACAGTGGAAATTAAAAGAACATAAGCCATTTTCGGTGGTTTTTCCCAATAAAATGGTTTTATTTTTCACCAGAAAAAAGGATGAAAGACAACGCTGATAATTACGTTTTATAAATACAATTCTGAGATTCTAAGCCAAATCCAGCACATGATGTTTCTCTAATTCTGATTCTGTTAATTATTTTGTTCACACATTTTGATACATGGATTTGTATCTAGTGCAGAGACACATTGTTAAAGGTGGGGTAAGTGATTTTTCAAAAACGCTTTAGAAAACTGATTCGGGCCGACTAGCAAAACAAACTTGTAGTCAATCAGCAGTAAGGGGCGTGTCTACTCATGATGTGGAGGAGAGTGCGTTCAGTGCACAGGACATTAGCCGAGCCGAGCGACAGAAAGATAGAGATGGCGGATAAAAAACAAAAAAGAGGAAACATCTGTGGAACAAAAGAAGGCTTAAGGCAATAAGGCAAGAAGTAGGACCCATGTAAATATCGGATCAGCTTTCCAGCGCAGAATGCAGCAGCAGTTTTCTGTCAGGGATTTGTCATGTTGCGCCGCTCCGCATCCAATGTAGACCATAGATATGTATATATATCTATGGTGTAGACAGCATCACTGATTATAATGAGTTCCATAGTATTTTGTCGCACTGCGCCACTCGCGACCGGTGTAGACACGGTGTAACATTGGTTTTGCTTTGTTTCACAGAACTAATCGTTGCCTGTGTTGCGTACGTATGTGTGGGGTGGAGCTATCAAAATAGGGGCGAGACCCTTTTGGGGTAGGGGCGTGTTTGTTTTGGTGATTTCAAACGTCAACATTGGCTACCAGAAATCGCTTACCCCACCTTTAAACTGGCTGACTTAAAATACTTAAAACTGAATGTGTCACTCACCTGACCCCAGGATCCAGTAATCCACTGGTTGCATGGATGAATATTGCAAGCCTGGATATTGCTGGGCTGTAGGTCCTCATCACATTTCCCAGTTTCAGGGCAGGTGACCAGCCTCTGCTGCTCCCCACCTCCACACAGCTCTGAACACTGTGGGCATATATGGTGTTAGACACACAGAGCTGAAGAGAGTAGCGTGAAGATCAAGAAACAGACACAAAGAGCTGAGGAGGGAAGAGTGAAAACCAGCCTCTGAATTTTAAACTTACTTACCTGCCCCCAAGAGGATGTGTACCACTCTAAACAGTTGTGGATGTTACAGGGAATTCGGACAGGAGGTCTGGGGAAGGTGGCCTGGCAATGAAATGGCCGCAGCAACCTCTGATCTCGTGTGTCATAACACTGGATCTCTCTGACTTTCGCTCCTACACCACAATTCTTTGAGCACTGCCAAATGAGATATCAAGAGTAGCAACTTCAATTGTTTTTCATTCATTGAAAATTAATTGAATTCATTATGTTTGGCTGCATGTATGCAGACTTACTTTACTCCACTCTCCAATTTTCCATGCGGAGCAGGGCCGAAGGTAGCAGCGACGCGCTGGCACTGGCCTAGTAGCTAAGTCACAGTCTGATTCATCACCAGTGCTGCAGGACACTGACCTCCAGATGGCACCAAGCCCGCAACTTGTTGAGCACTATCATACAAAATCATTTGCAGTATAAAGTACAGTTCACATTCAAATATGCATGCATAAAGTGCTTAAAGTGATTTATCCAAGTAGGACATGTCCCTGAATAAACTCTCTCATACTCATACAACTATTCAGATTTTAGAGTTAGGTTAAAAGTTAGAGGTTATGAGCGTCAACAACATTCTTATAAACTTAACATTTCCCATTTTATGAAACCTTGTGTATGTGTGCACACGCATAAACAGTCTGATTTAAGGATGGATAGTGGTGCCATGTGATCCCTCATATCCATTTTTGCTGCTAGAATAACATGAAACAAATGGCATTACCTGAAAGTTAAAGTTATGTGTGTGTTGAAATCTAATGCTTTGCTGTCAGCATAATTCAAGGACTTTTATCATTGGGCCCGACTGCTGTTTCTCAGCCCATGCTGGTTTCATATCTAGTGAATGTGAGGAATGCATAATTAACTACTCACAGCACTCCAGTTGCCTTTTTTCCAGTGTGCAGGGGAGGCTGATGGGGAAAGGGAAGGCATGACCAGCCCAGTGGGCATCAGAGGGTTGGAATGCACTGAATGCTCACTGCTAGTGCCCTGAGATGGCTGCTCAGTAGGAGTAGAGAGAGTGTGATTCAGCCTAGCAGGTCTCAGCATTCGAGCAATAATAATGTCATTGTTGTCAATCTCTGTCCAGCGAGGTAAGGGGACCGGGGTTTCCCAAGGCTCTATTCTAGGCCCATTAGTCTTGGTTGGTGCAATTGCTCTAGAATACCAACTTTGAGTCTCTGCTGCAATTGTAGTGTCCGGAATCTCAGTTGGAGTGAAGAGCTGGGGTTCAAAATCACTATCAATTTCTGTAGGAGGTAGAGCTGTTGTTCCAGCTGCTGAGGTCATGCTACTGTAATGTTTGGCTGGGACAGAGGAAGTTGGAGAAGGAACATACTCTTGAGAAAGGCTATCTGAGGTTGTAGTGAACTCTCTTACAGTACGCCATGGTTCACTAGCCTTAGTGTTAATTGCTGGTTCGGTCAAAACTTCATATTTTGCAAAGTCATCACTGGAAGCACTGCTGAGAAGCTCCAACGGGTGAGAAGTTGCACTCAGTGAGACTGTTGGTGAGGCCGTACTCCGTTGTAATGGAGTAGTGGGATTATGAATATGTCTGTTCTCATAAGTTTCAAATTTAAAAACATAATCTAAAGGAGGTTCATAATTTTGAGTGCCATGGTGTGGTTCACTTTCACCTTCAGGAACACCTTCACCAAACTCCTCTTCATTCTCAACTTCAGTTATTGGCGTTTTGGTTTTGTCTTTTTGATTGCCTTTGTAATGGCCATGGTTATTTGAATTTCTGTTCAAATTTATATGTGGTTCAGGAGTTAAAAATATGTTTGGAACAATTTCATATGATATTGTCTGCTTGTTCTGAGTGGACACATCTGCAGTTAATGGTGGGTTCCTTGTAACACTGATGTCCTGACTTAAGCCAATATCAGTGTTCTTCCATTTGCTAAATAACTTGGTTGCTGCAGAGGATGGTTCAGTTGTTGTAATGACAGGAAGGAAATAGTCCTCAGCAAATAGCTCATTATTATTTTCATTGAGTACGTCTTTCTTTTGAGGTTCATGACCTTCAGTACCCTTGTTTGTAATGCTGTCAGAGCGCATAGTGGTGGTACTCTGTTGGTCCGCAGTGGTGGATGGCAATGAGGTAGTTATAGGGACATCTGCCTCTGTCAGAGAAATGTCTCCATGTTTTATTCCTGAGTTATCAAACATAGCATTTTCAGCTTTATCAAGGTCATTCGAAAGATCCTCATGGAACCTTATAAAATTATAGTCATAATAAAAATCATCAACTTGTAGATTTTTCACAATAGAATTGTCAGAGGACTTTTCAACATGACTATAATGTGAGAAATCGTCTTCTATAATTTCATTGATGTCAGCATTGCCCCTGGGCTGATTTCTAGTAGTACTGAAGTGGGGTATAACTTTTATCTCATTGAAAACTTCTTTGCTGGATGCTCCACTTCCTGACCAGTCGTTGCCAAAGGTGTCTGAGTTTATGGGGCAGTCCTGAAGATAGCATGGCATAGTTGAATTAGGCTTGGCTTTCGGATCACAGTCAACACCAGTATTCCAGCTGCAGGTCACGTCACGTGTCTGGAAACCAGCTCCACAGCTCACTGAACACTGTGGAAGAAGCAGTGCATAAGAGCTGTCAAAGTCAGAAAATTGTCTCACAATGATTTAAAAATAAAATGAGACCATTTTGTATAACAATGAGTTATCAAAACAGTTTTGTACATTTTTGTCCCATAAAGCAAAATCTGATGTTTGTCTTATGAGAAAGCAAGGAATAATCATAATGTATAGTGTTTGTAGTATTGACAGCATTAATGTGAAGATGAATGTTTCCTCTTTTCAAATATTGTACTGTGGTGGTACAATAGCATGTATGTTGAAAAAAAAAAAGATACTTTGGACAAACTAAAAAATAATAATAATTTGTTAAAGCCTTCTTTCCCCCCTTAAATTAAATTTATGGTTTCATTAAAACCTTAAATTCTGATTTAGTATTAATCTAAAGTATTTTATTTTCTAAAAGACAAAAACGTTAATACAAAGATGATTTAATATTAAGAGTAAACCATAATTTATCAATAAATTTCCTTTAGAATTAAGCCAATATGTTACATA